TAGTGGGCACAGAACTCCAAATGTCAGTATATATATATATATATATATATATATATATATATTAAACAGTTGGTATATAATTTCAAATGTCAGTATATATTAAATACAGAACTTCAGATGTCAGTTTATATTAAAAAGTTGTTATATAACTTTAGATGTCAGGATGTATTTAATAGTGGGCACAGAACTGGAAATCTCAGTATATTTTCAATATTGGGTAGCATCCATGAATTTCTTTGTGATTGGACTGTCGAAACTGACGGTGCAAAACCATAATCCTCATTCATTAGATGGATTATGAGAAGCAGGCAATGGAGCAGTGGTTTGCTTTAAATTTTACCGTCTTATGATGGAGCCTTTTACAATGGAAACTACACTGCAAGGCTATTGTCATGAGATAGAACACAACCAGATATGGTGGCACAGAATGTAATGACATTGTGAGGCTCCAAAATAATTTTAATATAATGTATTAAACCTCTGTATATGATATTTTAAGTTAACTCTGTAATGTGCTTGTTTAGTGTCTTTCTCATGAAGCTTGTGTTACATGCCATTTTTCTATATCACACAGCTCAAAATTATTTTTTTACTACTTTGTTATTAATAATAAATTTGTATTATAAAAGCTGTGAAAAAAGTGTTTCTAAAGTTAGATCTGTCATTGGTTTCAGCTTTGGATGCTTTCTGTCTTCTGCAAATTTATGAAGAACTTTACACCAGAGCTTCCTCACTCAGCCTGAATATTGATGATCTTATTCAGAATGTGATAGATCAACCAAGTTTCACATCCAAAACAAAACAGGAGAAATCACCAAAGAAAAAGAACAAACCAAAACCTGTAAGTTCTTATACGTTTCATTTATTAGTTTCCTGTTCTTTATTTTAAAATGTTTAATATAATTTTTTAAGAGTTTCACTTTCTATTTTTGGAACTATGTAATTTTTATTAATATCATGTCCTCCACATGAAATGTACAATATATGCTTTTATTCATTTCATGCCATCACTTAAAAATATGTAACATAGCCTTGTATTAGTTTCTAGTTCAGCACTTGAAAATATGCAACGAGTTTCTTTATTAATTTTATGTCCTGTCTTTGTTACTGTAACAAGTTATTTTATTAATTTTATGTCCTGTCTTTGTTACTGTAACAAGTTATTTTATTAATTTTATGTCCTGTCTTTGTTACTGTAACAAGTTATTTTATTAATTTTATGTCCTGTCTTTGTTACTGTAACAAGTTATTTTATTAATTTTATGTCCTGTCTTTGTTACTGTAACAAGTTCTTTTATTGATTTTATGTCTTGTCTTTGTAACTGTAACAAGTTCTTTTATTAATTTTATGTCCTATCTTTGTTACTTGTAACAAGTTCTTTTATTAATTTTATGTTCTGTCTTTGTAACTATAACAAGTTCTTTTATTAATTTTATGGAAATTTGTGATAAGTTATTTTAGTAATGTTATTTTTGGAGCTGTGTAATATGTTTTTTGATTTGTTTCATGTTCTCAAATTGAAAACCTTTATTATATTTATAATACTAGCAGAAATGCTGCCATACAGATGGCTGTTTGTGCCTGTAATTACTAATTATAGAATTCATACCTCATTGAAAAAAATTTAGAAAATACTGCATGGGAAAAATGTTGGGATTGTGCTCTTTAGTCATATGCAACTCATTGCATCAAAATGCTTCAGTGTAAATTTTACTAATATAAATTATAATGTTTTCATATATTAAAAGTGGTGATAGTTTATTATAGTTTTTTAAGAACTCCAGTTTCTCAGTACTACATTTAAAATTTACATCAGTAAAAATATCAAATGCTCACATACAGTTTTAGTGAAAGTCATGTTCTTGTTGTGAGGAGAGTACTATTATTTAAAATTGCGTTCTATTATAAAGAAGTGGTTGCTGTACATACAACAGTTATTTTTCTAATTTTCTGAATCTTGAATGCCCAAAGTGTGAAATTTTTTATGGGTTTTTGTTTGTGGTGCCATTCAATAGATGGCATAGTTTTCGTTACATTAATAGATACTGACATACACGCTACATTTACTATAGTAAGGTGTAATAACTTAAATAACATCTGTATCTGATATTGATGATCACACTGCAACAAAGCTGCTGCTATTGTTTGTAAATTAGCTGTTGAATAAAAAAGATGAAAGATATTTTCTTTTTTTGCACATTGAAGACAACTTATAGAGTATGTATGTAATGTAACACTTAATTGCCCATTCACATTATGTGTTAAAATGGGAACATTTTAGGTTTAAAAATAGTGATTGAAATTGACAGGTTGTGGAATTTTTAAATGATTTTATGTATTCCATGCTAGAAATGTGAGAAGGTGATTTTAAGTCTGTTTTTTATTTGCTGCAGGAATAAAGTTTTTTTTTTTCAGTTTAGTATCACAACTCATCATCTGAATTTGACATAAGACAATTAGTAGCCAATAAATGTGATTTATTTTTAGTGTCATCGATGCATGTCTACTTGTAATTTCAAGACTTTTTACCTTGTTTCTCTGCAGAGGTAAATAATGGTGTATTTACTAAGTTGTATGGGAAGAAAAGCTAAATTGTTGAGATTTATAAAAAGAATCACTCAACACTTCATATATTAATGGAGTATATCCAGCCTCATTCCAGTGAAACATTATAATTGTATAATTTTTGTTCATAAGTGCAATGTTTAATACTATTTGATTTTGTAGTTTGTAGTGTTACCCTGATGCTAAATTTCATTAAAGAATTTCCTGGGATTTTTTGTCATTACTTCCCTGTAAACTCAGGGAAATTGTGGGTGGCCCATTACTTGGTAAAATGTTTATAGTGAATGGCCTTTTACTTGGTGAAATGTTTATAGTGGGTGGCTCATTACTTGGTGAAATATTTATAGTGGGTGACCCATTACTTGGTAAAATGTTTACAGTGAATGGCCCATTACTTGGTGAAATGTTTATAGTGGGTGGCTCATTACTTGGTGAAATATTTATAGTGGGTGACCCATTACTTGGTGAAATGTTTACAGTGAATGACCCATTACTTGGTGAAATGTTTATAGTGGGTGACCCATTACTTGGTGAAATATTTATAGTGGGTGACCCATTACTTGGTGAAATATTTATAGTGGGTGACCCATTACTTGGTGAAATGTTTATAGTGGGTGGCCCATTACTTGGTAAAATGTTTACAGTGAATGGCCCATTACTTGGTGAAATGTTTATAGTGGGTGGCCCATTACTTGGTGAAATGTTTATAGTGGGTGACCCATTACTTGGTCAAATGTTTATAGTGGGTGACCCATTACTTGGTCAAATGTTTATAGTGGGTGACCCATTACTTGGTAAAATGTTTATAGTGGGTGACCCATTACTTGGTAAAATGTTTACAGCGAATGGCCCATTACTTGGTGAAATGTTTACAGTGAATGGCCCATTACTTGGTGAAATGTTTATAGTGAATGGCCCCTTACTTGGTGAAATGTTTACAGAGAATGGCCCATTACTTGGTAAAATGTTTACAGTGAATGGCCCATTGCTTGGTGAAATGTTTATAGTGGGTGACCCATTACTTGGTAAAATGTTTATAGTGGGTGGCCCATTACTTGGTAAAATGTTTATAGTGGGTGGCCCATTACTTGGTAAAATGTTTATAGTGGGTGGCCCATTACTTGGTAAAATGTTTATGGTGGGTGGCCCATTACCTGGTAAAATGTTTCTAGGTCTATGAAGATTGTAACAAATAGTTTATTGAAATTTTATTTGTGTGATTTAAAAACACTGCAAGCAAATGATGTATTTAATTTTTCTTTTCATCCATTTTAATATAATGAAATTATTTCTCTCTCATCTATTTCTGTGTGGTGCTACAGTCTCTGCCACTGAGACATTGGTTTAACTTCGAGATGTCATACTTTCTACACACTTCCAACTAAATTTGTTTGAGCAAACTAATTGTTCTTAAAGAAATTAAAAATCAGTATGTAATGTGTTTCATGCATTATTCCTTCTGTGCTGGAATTTGAGTTTCATTAATATTTGTTCTTATGTCACTTCTTTTAAGATATAAAAATGTAGAGAAGTTCTTATTTAATGTTATTGTATATGTTAATATCAGTGTTTTTTTTATTTATGTATACCATTAGGTTTGCTCTTCCTAAAGTAAAAAAAAAATTATTTGTACACTAGACTGCTATATAGTTAAAGTTTAAAAGTTGTAGAATTTTGTTGAATGGACATTCTAATAGTTTCAATGTAGTAAAAATTGTACTAGATTTGAACTATTCAAAAGTCTGCTTATAAAATCAAAATAACTGATCATTATATTCTAAATAGACATTCAGTGTACATTACCTTGTCCAGAGATGCACATTATATGTAAGTGTGTGTTGATATGTTCCATAGAATGTGAAGCCAACTTGCTGTTCAGTACCTGATCTCCCTGCAGAATCTACCTTCCCAGCTACAAAGGCCAGAGACTTCAAGGTAGTTGTGGACACCATGCTGCAAGGGCTAGGTCGAAACCTTCGAATTTGTGGTGTGGACACTGTAATACTTGAAAATGCTGATGATCATGACAAGGCAGCTAAAGTATGTTTTACTTTTAGTTAAATTTAAATGAACATGTATTTAAGACTTATGAACACTATTACTATCTTTTTCAGTGAACTGTTTCAAATCCATTTCCTTAGTTGATTGGGCCCAGCATGGCCAGGTAGTTAGAATGCTTGACTCGCAATCTGAGGGTCGCGGGTTTGAATCCCAGTCACACCAAACATGCTCACCCTTTCAGCCATGGGGGCGTTATAATGTGATGGTCAATCCCATTATTCGTTGATAAAAGAGTAGCCCAAGAGTTGGCGGTGGGTGGTGATGACTAGCTGCCTTCCCTCTAGTCTTACACTGCTAAATTAGGGACGGCTAGCGCAGATAGCCCTCGTGTAGCTTTGCGCGAAATTAAAAAATAAGAACCTTAGTTGATCACAAAGTTACATATGAGACATCACTCCAAGATGTTGCGTTTAAAACAAATTAAAGACATATATATATTTATGAATATATATATATATATATATATATATATTTTGCATTATTTGAATGTTTTCCACAAAAAACAGTAAAATATCTTTCCAGTTATCTAGTTCAAGTAGAAGAAAAGAAAATGTATCTACTGTAAACTATTTTATTAAGACAAAAGAAAAAATAAATTGATAAACTAAAGTATTTATCTGCATTCATTGTTGGTATCAATTCTGAGAAATCTACTTATAACAGTTTGGCATCTGTATAAAAAAAACTTCAGTGTGCTCTAGCAACTGAAATCCCAAACAAGAGAACATGAACCCAGTTATTAGAAGCCTTAGGTTCCCAGTGAACCTTAACACTAGTGACAATGGGGTGTGAGAAAAATGGGCTACTCTAGTTCTAACAAATGAAAAATATTGAATGAGAGGATGTGAACCTTTTATCAGAAGTCTTGAACACAGTGAATCTTAGAACTAGCATTAGTGGTGTATGAAATCCCAAAAAAGGAGATGTGAACCCCTTATTAAAACTTTTGGATCTACAGTGAATCTTAGAACAAGGTACATATGATAAATTCAGGTTGCAACTGAATCATTTCTTAGAAGTTTTAGATACTTACCCAGTTGAAAAATAGAATGATAGGAAGAATTTCAGGATTTAAAGGTAATATTTGAATGACTTACAATGTCATATGATTAATATCATGAACCACTATTTGGTATGGTGTAATATTATTGTTTAATATCATGAAGTGTAATATTAGGTAATTATATATCATCTATTCAATATCATAAAGTGTAATATTGAGTAAAAATCATATATCTGGTTAATATTATGAAGTAAAATTTGACATGGTTATCATTGTGTAATATCATCTGGTTAATACCGCAAATGTAGAAAAAATTTTTTTTAAATAATGTTTTTTCACCATACTGTTATTTGAATTTATAATATGAATTGGAAACACTGTTTGTAAAATTTCCATTTTTTATAAAATTATATTAATGTGGAAACAATCATAGTAGTAAAGTTAAAAACCTTTTCATTAAATATACACCTGGAAAAAAGTTAAGCACCCCCGTGTTTTTTTCAAATGATTC